CAGCTATTCAGTGGGAGAGGATGTGACCCACGTGACCAGAATGTAGTATTGAGGCCCATGGGTAGTTTGATTGAAAAGCCTTTTAATCTCAGTGGGAAGAAGATGCATATAAGGGACAGAAACCTAACCCCTGACAGAGATGTGCTGATGAAAGGTTGCTGCTAGTATCACTTTCTTGGCACCAGGAGACAAAACCAAGACAGTTGGAAGGCTTAATCTATGTGGGTCAGCAGGTAGTGAGGAGAAATGAGAATCAGAAGGCTCGTTTGATTGACAATAGAATTGACCGACTGTGCTGCATGAATGAAGGGAAGAGATTTGTATGAATTCTGAGGAGTCGTGCAGGTAAGGGAGGAGTTGAGAGTTCGCTAAGAAAAGCAGCTAGGCCAGGTCATGGATGAGGGAGGACCCACATTGACATTTAATCTGAGCAGGAGTCCAATTTTTAAAGGAAAAAATGTAGGTATCAAAAAGGTAATGGAAGAAAGGTCTTATTTCTCTGGTAACTATTTTTCTAGCTAAGCCAATTGAGAGAGAGTGTTCATAGAAGGACACTGAGATTTTCTGGACAATGACAGTCCCTGAAAGAGAGACTTTCATTTCTAGGATCAACTGGGATCAAAGATGGGATGGACAGATCTCATCTAGGCTTGGAAAGAGCTGCTGTAACTCTTGAATATTAGCAAAGAGGACTTCACACCGATTTCTTGTCTAGCAGTGTATGTGGGAACACTGCTGTGTCAATTAAAGGCATTTACTTCATGGGATTCCAAGTATTACACCATCTTCAGATGAAAATATTAACCACAGTGTAGCCACTTTTCAAAGCCAAAGTTTTCTCCTTGCCTCAAATGAACTATAAAAGAAGTCAAAAGTAGAATCTACTTATCAAATGAAAGTTGTAACGAAAGAATTGTTAGAATAAAGAAAAAGTTCCTTAAGTGTCTTTTATCTCCAGTTGTTACAATAAATACTTTGTCTTCACAAAGGGGGTAGACCCACCCGCATATTATGGACAGTTTTCCAAATAGTGACCTCAAAATGAGCAAACTAATTTTGTTGGTGCTTTGTGCCACCAAATTGCCAAGGAAAGGAATTCTGAGGCATTCTTAGCTAAGTAAGTTTATTGGAAGCAAACATGACTGTTTCCTGCCATTGCCTCAAGGAGCTTCCATATTTTAGTATTTACCCTAAGCCAAGTGTCTTTCTCAAGACTTTCCTCATTTCCAAATTCAGAGGCATAAAGAGGGTTTCAGATTTGCTTCTCAATTCCTGAGCAGGCAGGAGGAGTTTGGAGAGCTGGTGTGAAGTACAGCATATTATTGGCCTGCCTTTCCTGCCCAAAGGTCACTTCCACATCTCCATAGATGGGACATTAGCCTCTTCAGCTGGTAAGATCTGTTACTCTTTTGTCTTTAGAGGGACATCCATGAGGAGAAGATCTTTAACTTTACCCATTATGCATTTTCATCTGGTCACTTCCACCAGAAGAGTCTGTCTTTTTAATGAAATACTGGATGAATCGTGAGGCTCTTCCTTTCCCAGTGGCAGGAACCTAGGCACCTGGGTCAAGTCATCAGTATCCACTTTGACCAGAACCTTGAGCAAGAGTACACAGTAGAGCCCTGACTGGTGTGGCTCAGTGGGCTGGTCATGGTCCTGCAAACCAAAAGGTCACGATTCAATTCCTGGTCAGAGCACTTGCGTGGGTTGTGGGCCAGGTCCCTGGTTGGAGGCATGTGGGAGGCAATGTTTCTCTCCCTCTGTCCCTCCCTTCCCCTCTCTCTAAAAGTAAATAAGTTAAAATCTTTGAAGATTTTAACCAGGATAACTGCACTGATCAGCCCCTCTGAGACTAGTTCAGTTTACTAGTTTACTGAGACTAGTAAAAATATTTGAAGATTTTTACTTATTTACTTTTAGAGAGAGGGGAAGGGAGGGAGAAAGAGAGGGAGAGAAATATCAAGGTGTGGTTGTCTCAACTGTGCCCCGTAATGGGGACCTGGCCTGCAACCCAGGCATGTGCCCTGACTGGGAATTGAACTGGCAACCCTTTGGTTTGCAGGCCGGCACTCAATCCACTGAGCCATACAAATCAGGGCTAAAATCTTATTAAAAATACTGTAAAAAGAATACCCAGGAGAGAAAATGCTCTCAAGTGTAATTCTTGGTCTTCTCAACCCAGTAGTTGATTGTGTGTGAGGGGTGGGAGTGCGGAACCCCTGGCCTTCACTGCTGCCAGTGGTGCAAAACGTGCCACCCCTTCCAGTAGATCATATCTGAGCAGAGGGCTGTAATCAAAACAGAGCCTGGAAATGCACACAGTGGACTCATTATAATTCCTCCCCAGTCATCCTGATTCTGCAGGGTTCCCCATCTGGAGTCTGGTGCTAGGGAAAGCTGTTCACTTGGAGGTGGGATTGGGAAAGCACCTGGCACCTGTCTGCTGGGTAGTAAGTTCCTATAAATTCCACTTGACCTTCCTTTTCCTCCTGTCTTTCTTCCTCTCAGCGTGACGTGGTGGTAAAACTCATGGATTAGAGAGTCAGAACAGAGTTTGAAAGCCACATGAGAGTTAGCTTTTCTGAGCCTCAGTTTCCTCAGTGGTGATGGCATTTTCCACCTTAAAGGGTGGAGGCAAGGGCTGCATGAGGTTAAACATGAGCCGTGGCTCATTGTAGATGCTCAGTGGGTGTGTGATGGTGCCCCTCTTCCCTTCCCTGTCTTAAAAACCTCATGCCTCTATCTGAACTAGTCTCAGAGGGGCTGATCAGTGCAGGCATCCTGGTTTAAATGAAAAAAAAATGGTATTGAACAAAGCTAATGTTTACCCCAGAGTAGACACACTAGGCTTCGTAAGAGAAGTTAGGACACTTACTTCATTGTATAGTCAGCTCCGCCATAACGTGTGTTCCTGAAAATCACCAGGCTATGCACAATCACACAAAAACCGCAGGGCTTATGGGAAAAAATGGGTTATGGGCATACACTTGAAAATTTGGCAGTGACACATACAAAAACCAGAAACTAATAGTGATGGTAGTACAGCTTTACATGTTAAATTGTTGAGAGACATAACATTACATTAAACATGGAACGTTTCCTTAAGAAGACCTGAAATTTGCTTGTGGAAGCAGATGTCGGAAGGGTTGGAGTTTGTTGGTGTTGCCCTGAAGTTGTGTAAGGAGTGTTATTGGAAATCAGATGGGAATTGTACTGCCAGATGGGTGTGGTGTATAACCTGGTAAACTGAGGTAACTGGTAGATGTGTGAGTTTTGTATTCCTATGCAACTGGGTTCAGTTGGGGGGAAGACTTCTGTGTTCATCTAGTGTTTCTCAAAGGCAAAATCATGTGTAAGCAAACACAAAGTTTGCATTATGCTCAGATTGTTCCTTCATGTATCAGTCACATTGGAATAGATACGCATTTTCAAAACATCTGTTTCAGCAGAACCAACTGTACCAGCTACCTGGAAAAGGTCACCTTCCCCTAGGCAGTACCCTAAAGACAAGTAAATAAAATCAGTGTAGCTCTGCTGGTGTAGCTCAGTGGATTGAACACAGGCCTGCGAACCAACGGATTGCCAGTTGGATTCCCAGTCAGGGCGCATGCCTGAGTTGTGGGCCAGGTCCCCAGGAGGGGGCGAGTGAGAGGGAACCACACATTGATGTTTCTCTCTTTCTCCTTCCTTTCCCTTCTTTCTAAAAATAAATAAGTCTTTAAAAAATCAGTTGTAAAACATAAAAACTAATGGGACCATTAACATATTTTATAAAGTGGTAATTATTTTGTAAATATTATTTTTTTGCCCTGGCCAGGAGGCTCACTTTGTTACAGCATCATCCCATGCACCTAAAGGTTGTGGGTTTGATCCCTGGTCAGAGCACATACCTGGGTTACAGGCTTAATTCTTGGTCGGGGTGCATAGGGGAAGCAACCAATCAATATTTCTCTCTCTCCCTCTACCTCCCTCTTTCTCCCTCTCTCTTTCCCCCTCTTCTTCTCTCTCTAAAATCAATGAAAATATCCTTGGGTAAGGATATAAATAAATAAATAAATAAATAAATAAATAAATAAATAAATAAATAAATAAAATGTTTGCGTTCTTTATATATCGGTTGTTGTATTCTGGGTAAGTGGAGTAATTATCAGATTGTTGACTTTGAGAATAATTGGGAGTGTGGGGATGGGTATCCTTGGCTGTATTTTGTAGTGATTTTGCTTGTAGGTTACCTCTTTGGATCATCAGCTACCTTCCCATTCTTGGTTAGCACAGATGAGCCACCCTCGGTGCCCTGATCTCATGTGAACTGACACACAGACTTACAGGGAAGGCAGTCAATAAACAACATGGGTACAGTGCAGTTGGTGAATGATGTGTTGTGCTTCTTTGAGTCATCCTGATCTCTTTTTAAAGGTCCTTTGTAAATGAATCCTGTATTTTAAAAAGAAATGTACTTGTGACTATATATGGTGCTAGGAGAACAGTGGTAATCATATAAATTGTGATGTTAACAGGCAGTGTAGGCTAAAAAGGCTATGGAGTTATCTATAGATCAATTTTAGGAGAGGTGTGTGAACCTCAGAAATCCTATACAAATTTTTGTTGGTGAGTGCATTTTGGAAGGAAAGAGACCTCAGCTTTTATCACATTCCTAGGTGGATCTTTGATCTTGAAATGGGCAAGAAACATTGATTTAGAAAAATCCATGGAATTTTCATATGGGTCATTTAGGGGAACTTAGAACAATTGATGGCATATACTAGTACTGTGAGTCCATAAAGGGGAGCTGTTACAGTTTTCTCAGGAAGCACTCCGGGGAGGGGTCGGCTGTCTGTGACAGCATGGAGCTGGTTTGACCAGTGGGTTGACCTTGCATGTCATGTTTGATGTTTCCTCTCAAATTAGCCACCTTAGTGGTGAAGGAATCAGTTGCAAACAAGGGCTTATTGCTTTTCAACTGTGTATTTCATGATTCCCTTGACTTTATTTTTCAGATGGGAACAACGAGAGTTGCCCAATGGCCGTGTCTATTATGTTGATCACAATACCAAGACCACCACCTGGGAACGGCCTCTTCCTCCAGGGTAAGGCATGGACTGACAAGCCTTGAGACTCTAGAACTGGCACCAAGATCACCCAGTGGTTCCCTGACCAGAGTGGTTCTGGTGGTTGGGTGTTGTCCTGCAAACTGAAAGGTCACTGGTTTGATTCCCAGTCAGGGCAGATGCCTGGGATGTGAGTTCAGTCCCTGGTTGGGGCACATATGAGAGGCAGCCAATCAATGTTTCTCTTTCACATTGATGTTTCTTTCCCTTTCTCTCTCCTTTCCCCTCTCTCTAAAAATTAAAAAAAAAGAGAGAGAGAGAGAGAGACTCACCCAGTGGCTTCTCTACCACTAACTGCTATGACCTCGTCTTTATTTGTCCGTACTTTTTCCCCTCCTCCCTTGGTCTTCCCCTTCTAAATTCCTTCCCCTCTGTTCCTGTTTTCTCTTCTCCTCTCATGCATTGCACTGGCCGTGACGGATGGCCATGGGCTTTATTAAGTGGTATACAGAGCTGCTATTGGCTGTTGGATCCTGGAGGAAGAAGGGCGTGGGGAGTGGCAGCCATAGCTGTCTCAGTGCCCTCAGTCATTTCACCTGCAGAGATATCCTATTAGGGCCAGGTTTTCAGTCTCTTTCTACAGAGATAGCAAAGCACAGGGACAATTTATCCCTGGTCCATTGATTGCTTTTCCTATTCATTTGCCTTAGTTTTGCTCTTATTTCTTAAGACATACTAGGATTTTCAGAGCATCTCTGTGAGAAAACTGGGCATGGGGAGGCCAAGATAGTAAGAGTGGTGGTGAATCACACAGCACCCTGTGCCCAACCAGACCATGAAGGCAGTGTGCTTCTTGTTAAGCTGGGCTTTGAGAGAATGCAGCTTATGTTCTTCAAAACCAAAGGGTGAGTGAGGCTTCCAAGTGAGAGAGACTATCCAGGTTCAGGGAGAAGAAGTTTGGTTCCCTCTCTGCTAGGGATAATCTTTCCGCATGTGTCTGCCTGTCCTTAGAACTTTCAAAAGGAAGTCAAGCAACCACAAAGGGCTGCTGCGTAAAATATGAACAGTTGTCCCCCCCTCCGCTGGTGGAGGGACAGGATGTCAGAGGTGGGGGAGCCCCTGTGCTTCGTTTGGCTCAGCGGGCAGGCGTGTGCCAGGTAAATACCACCTTGCCTCCTGTCCTGCAAGTTTCCGTGGATGGGCTGCTCTTACTATTTTCCAGTAGAATGCTTGTGTTTTCTTTTTTTTACCTTATCCTTCTGGAAATGAAATTCATATGTCATCTTTAGTCTTCACTTTGTTTCTACTTTGGCTTTAAGTCCAGTGAAGTTACTGAAGTTAAGCATAGACTTCTAAGGGAAAAAAACTAAACATTTTATTATGGAAATTATCTCATTATTATGGAAACTTTCACATATGCACAAAGCAGAGAAAAGCCCCATTTATTCAACACTTCGCTTCAGTAATTATCAGCTCATAGCCAGTCTTGTTTCATCTGTACAAGGGCTTGGAAACCTATGGGCCTGTGGACAAAATCCAGCCCTCTGTCTATTTTTGCAAATAAAATTTTATTGAGATATGCCACACCCTTTGTTTACCTATTGCCTATGGCTGCGTTTGTGCTTAGTAGCAGAGCCGAGTAATTGTGACAGAGACTTTATAGCTTGCAAAGCCTAAAGAACAGGAGTGTGCAAAAGTAGGTTTATAGTTGTATGTGAAACAGAGTTTATTTTTGAATTATTATTTATTAATAATTATTTATTTGTATTACAACTGTAAACCTATTTTTGCATGTCCCTGTATTTACTTTGTGGCCCTTTATGGAAAATAGTTGCCACCTCCTGATCTGTAATCCTCACTCACTCTTCCCCCACCACCATCTGAGATTATTTTGAAGCAAATCAGACATCCTATCATTTTATCCATATTTTGTATATATTTCTTTTAAAAGTTATTTTATTAAAAATAAAACCACTATAGCCATGGCTGGGTGGCACAGTCAGTCAGAGCATCATCCTGATATGCCAAGGTTGCAGGTTCGAGCCTCAGTGAGGGCACATATGAGAGTCAACCAATGAGTGCATGAATAAGTGGAACAACCAATTGATGTCTGTCTGTCTGTCTCCCCACCTTCCTCTCTGTCTAAAATCAATAAATTTAAGAATTAAATAAATAAAATAAAACTGCTACATTGTTAACAGTATTTCCTTGCTATCATCAGAGACCCAGTCTATGGGACCCAGAGACCCAGATTTCTCCAATTGTGTTACAAATTAATCTTTGACTTTTAATAGGTTGCATTGCACACTTGTGCTTTGTGTATTTAACAGCACGTCTGTTTAAAAGCAGAGGTAACTCTGTAAGTGTGCTGGTTGCTGCCTCTTAACCTCTCTGGTCTATAAGCTATATAGGCCTTGACTTGGTGAACTTTTGGATGGAATCTAAATGAAACTATTTAATGGTGTCTCACAAGAATGGCTGAGGTTTTACTCTTTAAGGATTGAGGTGGGACACTAGATCCAGCTTTCTTATTTTCAGGATAGTTTTAATGTTTTATTGGGAAAAGGCTTGACTCTATATCCCACATAGCCTATTAGTTCTTCCTGAGTTTTATACCCAGACCTGTGAGTCTCTGGCACGCACTTCTATGATGTAACAAGGGAACCCAGAGAAAACAATGCTTAAGCTTTCATTGCTAGTTGGTGCAAGAAGTTCCACCCAGGGAAGTATTACCGAGGTGCGAGCAATCTGGAGGCTACAGATGATCTCAGCAGACTGAGTCACTGAGGAGCGAGACTGAGCCACTGGATTCACGTTATCATAGCCACCTCCCTCTCACAGACCCCTGGGACACTTGTCGGATGATGAGTTATTCTGTCCAGAAGCAAAAAATACTGGACCTGGACTAAGGATAGGGGATAATTTGCTGTTTAGTTACTGTTAGGTGGTGCTCAGAGCGGAGGCGAGGAGGGAAAGTGACCATATCATAGAGCACAGGGTTGGGGAGGCCTCACAGAGGGAGGTGGATCAAACGTGGTCTTGCAGAAAGGGCTAGAGGTGGACTTAAATAAGAAGAGGAAGGCGATCCGGGTTGGGGAACAGTGCGATTGGGGAAGGTATGGTTAAGGAATGATGTGTGGAGCGGTTTTGCTGAGGTGGAAGGTTCGTGTAAAACAGAGATGCTCAAAGTGTGTCCTATAAGGCTCGTGGGTTTGGTGGAGATGCCCCTGGAGCTGAAGAGTGTGAAAGGGGCCACTGGGCCTCCAGCCACTGCTCTATGGCTGTGATTCTGCATAAGGTTTCATCGGATATCAAGGGCAAGATTATGCTGCTCAAAAGTATAAAATTCACCACTACAGGGGACTTCTACTTAACGTGGGGATTGAAAATGTGTTTATTTCTATACCTTCCTGAAAACTCACCAAAATGGCAATAAAAATATAAAAAAGTTATAAATCATTAGTGATAAAGGAATGGAAGAGAAGTAGCATACGGGAAATATTACCCAAAGTGTAGTTGCTGATAGATAAATGGCCAAGCTGAGAAACCTGAAACCCAAGCCTACAGTGTGGAGTGTCCACCAGGAAGCCAGCTGATTCGCACCGTGGAGCCCTGGAAAGCCTCAGCCGTGGGAGACTTTGGGGAGATGTGTGTGTGCCTGCGTTTAATAAAACCAGAAGCCTGAAGTCGAGTTTTAAGATTTGTGCAGTTAAGAGTTAGATTCCTAGGTTGTCATCCCTCATTCCCATCCCTCTGCCACATGTGTGTGTAGGTATATACACACCTGCACACACATTCATACATGCATACCTCAACACAGCCCTGTGGCTGCTGCTGGCATGAGAAGCAGAGCAGAGTGTGCCTGGGGGACAGAGCTATAGCTGAAGGTAGGGGTGAACTCAGAAAAAAGAGATGAGGTAGGGATGTTGTTCCCAGGCTAAAAATGGGAGAGGAGTTTTTTGGTTTGTTTGTTTTGCTGGGGAAAGTGACCAGTCCAAGGGAAAAGAGCTACAGATTGTGTTATTTAGGGGTCTTCTAATAAAACAGCTGAGTGAAGCCACTGGTTGGCCAGCCCCTACATGGGCACACAGAGCTTCCATCCAGTGGGTAGTGGCTCACTTTTAAATGTGAATGAACAGCAGACCCTTCAGAGAAAAAGGGACTTGGTGAAAACAATGTAGGGAGTGGAAAAAATACTTCAAAAAGTAAAACCAAATTATAATTTATATCCTCAAAGATTTGGGAGAAAATAAGGCATTTGTGAAACAAGAACAGGAGACCATAAAACAAACCATGTAGGAAAAACAAGAGCTTTTAGAAAGTAATATCTGTGAAACAGCAGAAATTTGGAAGTTCAATAGGATTGAAAAATAAAGCTGGAGCTAAGGAAATTGGATGTTGAGTCTAGGAGATCCAACATCTGAACAGTAGTTCTAGCAAGAAAGAAAAGAGAACAACTAGAGGGTAGGAAATTACCAAAGAAAGAATAAAAGGAGGCTGACAGAACTGAAAGATAGAGTATCCACATTCAAAGGACCCATCAAATTCTGAGCCCAGAGAATGAACAAAGACCTATCCCAAGGCACATCCTGTTGGAATTTCAGAATGCCAAGAGAACATCTTGAAAGCTTCCGGAGCAAACAAACTGAGTATATATCAAGGATCAGGAATCAAGAATGTCATCCTTCTTCTCAACAGTATGACCCTTGAAAATTTGGTGAAAAATTATTTCCTGCCTAGAAATCAAGTTTTAGTTTTTACACAGAAGTGTGAGATTTGGAATAAAGGCATCTTTAGACAGCGAGAATTTCCAAAAATTAACTTTGGTGCATTCTTTCTCAGAAGCTACTACATGATTTACCCCACCAAATAAGAGGGAACCAAGAAAAAGGTCATGAGATGAGGGCACAGGGGACTCATTCAGAGCCCAGAGAGGTTCCCAAGAGGAAGGTGCCGGAAGATAACTTAGGACAATAATGTAGAGCCAGCCTGGAGGACACCTGTGTACGCTGGACGAAGGGTTCCAGGAGGGATAGGCCACCTGCCCTGTTAGAATCTCGGGGTACATTAGTGACAGCTTCCAGAAAACCATGGAACACAAAACAAGGCAGTTCTTAATTCCACAGGGAAAAATGTTGTATAAGTAAGGAAATGTATTTATAGTCTACAAAGTCATAATACAAACTCTGAATATTGATTTGATGATTTTCTATTTGGGAGGATGAGACAAGAGATGGCTTTGTGTGGATTAGGGGGTAGAATACAGTAACTAAATCCTCATTTATAGTAGAAGGTCCATAAGTAATATCTGAATGGCAGAAGTCCAGAAATCATGGGATAAGCTTGTTATGTAGAAATGCAGATATAGGTAGTAGTAGAAGAAGCAGGCAAAAGTTGAAAGTGGTTGCTTCTGGGGAGCAGGAATCAGCACTGGGGAGAGGTAGGGCAGGAGACACTATTTTTCTTTATATACCCCTATAGTACCTTTGTTTTTTAAAAATATGTGTGTGCATATATGTATACATACACATACACATGTGATTTCTTTGATTATAAAAAATAGATAAAAATCACTGGTTGAAAGGATTTATGATAAAGGTGGGAAGGGTCCAGATTATTGTGAGCCTTGCCTACTAACTAAACAGCATTGACTTGAGGGCAATGGGGAGTCAGTTGAAGTTTTGAGTGGGAGCATGATATAAGGGGTCAGCTTGGTATAATTCTCCTGATGGCAGGTGATAGGCTGGACCAAGTGGGGAGGTTAGTTCTGTGATAGTTGGATATAGAAATGCATGTCAAGGGCAGAGAGATGACAACAATAGGAAGCTCTCGGGCCAATTGGTTTGACAGCAGAAAAGGAAGAGTCAGGAATGATAGTGTGGTTTTACCCCTGGGAGGAGGACTGACCTAAAAGAAGACTGGGAAAGACTTCTTCTCATCAAATTTCTTTTTCTCAGGTTTAGGGAGAGAGCTGTGATGTTTAGTTTAATCCAAAGTGACAGCAGGTCATGAAGGCATGGCAGTCTAGTGGGTGGAATCCAGACAGAATCTGGGAACTAGCCATGATGCTGGGAGATGCTTGCGGAGAAGCTATGTCCAGGGAGGCTTTGCGTTGAAAAGAATCATTGATGTGGTCACAACAAAAGTCATCTGGGAGTTTAATGCTGAAAATTGAGGAGGATCCAAGCTGAAGGATGATAGTTACTAGAGTAAGATAAGAATTCAGAGAAGATGAAATGAGATGGTAGTCAGGGAACAGATACTCCAATGGTTTGGAATCATACAATCCAAATCTGTATTGGCTTCTCTTTGCAGTGGGCTAATCCTAGTTTCTTCATTGATATCTCTTTTTGAAACCTCTTTCCTCTCCACCCTTCTGTACTTAGAATGGAAAATTTCACGCATACACCAAATTTGAGAGAATAACACAATGAACCCCTGTTAACCCTTACCTGCTCCTAACAATAACATTTTTGTTTCATCAGATATCCCAGGACAGAGGGCCAATGAATTTTAAAGCAAATCCCAGACATCATGTCCTTTGATCCATGAATACATCACATATGTCTCTCATGGATTGGGTGTGTTTTATTTTTAATAACTAAAATACTATTATCCCACACAACAAAATTATCACTATTTCCTTATTTCATATCATATCCAGTCCACATGTCATTTTCCCCAGTTGTCTTACAAGACAACTTGTTTTTATACTTGATCTGTTTGAATCAGATCCAAACTCAAGATCAAAACATTGCTTTTGACTGATATGTCTCATAAGTCTCTCAACCAATAAGTCCTCCCACCCTTACTTATTTTTTTCAGGCCATTTATTTGTTGAAAATTCTGGGCATTTATCTTGTAGTTTCTCATAGTTTGGACTTAGTGGATTGTGACCTTGTGGTGTTGTGTAATATGTTTCTCTATCTCTCGTCTTTCCTGTAAGCTGGCAGTTAGATATGGAGGCTTGATTAGATTCAAATTCACCTTTAAAATTGACAAATTAAGGTAATTTGCATACAGTGAAATATACAAATTTCAGGTGTACTGTTTGCTGAGTTTTGACAATGCATATGCTCGTGTAACCTACACCCCATCAAAATGTAAAACATTTCCATCACCACATGAAGGCCCCTCTCTTACTTAGATCACTTCCTTGTTTATGTGAAAGTGCAGTTAAATATGTGAAGCACAGCTGAGGTTTTTACCATCTACTCCAGCTCTTCCTTGCCCATGGGTGTTTCAGGACCAACTTTGGAAAGGTTGTTACTCACCAAAGACAACGTGGAGATTCTTGCTATTATTTATATCAACCTTCTCATGCAGCATGTTTCCACTAGCGCCTTATATCAGGATCATTTCTGTTGCCAGCGAAAAAATTTGGGATCCAAATGTGAATTTGTTGGCTCGTGGAACAAAATTCTAGATTCTGTAGGTCCTGGTTTCAAGTGAAGCCTGAACTGGTAGCTCACGATATCACCAAGGGGCTGGATTTTTCCCCTTTTTTCTGCTCTGCCACCCACTGGGTCAGTGTCATATTGTATTTGGGTCCAAGATGCAAGTCAGTTGCTCCCAGGACTGCATGCTTTCTCAGTCATATCCGGCAAGAAAGAGAGACAGTTTTTCCAAGAATTCCTAGCAAAATTCCCAAGGTTCACCGAATGACCATCATGTGCCCACTTCTGGTCCAGTCAGCAGTTCAGCTCCTAGGATGAGTGTAGAGTCACCTTCCTCAGAACCATATAGATGGTCTAAATGGAAATCAGGAGCTAGTGGTAAGGAGGGATTGGTTTGTAAGGATGTAGTCATCTAAGGCTTCCAGGGGTGTCCTTTCAGCTTGAGGGCTGCATGTGACCCAGGACAGCTTTGAATACAGCCCATCAGTAATTCATCAAATTTACTTAAAACCGTTTTTTTTCCATCGGTTTTCATTAGTGTTTGTGTATTTAATGTGTAGTCTAAGACAACACTTCTTCCTCCATTGTGGCCCAGAGATGCCAATAGGTTGGACACCCCTGGAAGCCCCGAAGCCTCCGTGATTGGGGCCTGCCTTGCCACGCTTCCCTGAGCAGCCAAGCTCCTATGCCAGACGCCAGTTCACCGCCTCTTGGCCCGTCCTTGTCAGCCATGCTGAGATTTTGCTTGAGTTTGAAGGGAGGGGTGGGGTGATCACTATGTTCATGCTGAGCTTAATGTTTCCAGCTGGGAGAAACGCACAGACCCCCGAGGCAGGTTTTACTATGTGGACCACAACACTCGGACCACCACCTGGCAACGCCCCACAGCTGAGTACGTGCGGAGCTATGAGCAGTGGCAGTCGCAGCGGAATCAGCTCCAGGGTGCCATGCAGCAGTTCAGCCAAAGATTCCTCTACCAGGTGAGAGGGCAGAATGTGCAGCCTTGAATTATCTCCACTGACCTGTTCGGTGAGCAGGGAAAATGTCAGTACTCCAACCCTGGAGGTTTTACTCATCACAGTGAAATTCCTCAAACTCCAGTGTTTCCAACTTAGTAACTCAAGGCCCGTCCTCTGTGTCTAGAGACTTAATATGTCTGCAACTAAATTTACCATCTTTCTTCCAGCACTGGATTTCTTTTCTGGCTCTTCCTTTCAAGTCCATTAACCCTGACTTGAAACCTGAAGATCAGTGGTGACTTCTCCTGTAACTCGACTTTTTTAATCAAAGCAACCACACAGATCCTTCTCTTTCCACTGCTATTGTGTTTCTTTAGGTATTTATTATCTGACAGATACCCAAGGATGGCCGGTAGGCCAAACTGGTCCAAGCCTGATTTTGTAAATAGTTTTATTGGCACATATGCATGCCCTGTAGTTTAGGTATTGACTGTGGCTGCTTTCACACTATAACAGAAAAATTAAGTAGTCACATCAGGGACAATCTATCCCATAAAGCCTGAGATATTTACCGTCTGAACCTTTGACTTAGATCAACTTCCTGCTGTCTGATTGCAGATTTTCCTTTGTTCCTCCCAACTGAATGGTTAGGGCAGCTTCTGAATTGTTCTCTCTGCCAGCATTCTCTCTCCTCCAATCCATACTGCCTGTTCCCACCAGAGCAGTCTTCAGCTATCATTGTCATTTCATCATTTTAAAAAAATCACTGTGGAGGGTTTAAGGAAGGTGAGTGTTGCTCTACATTTATTACTGTCATTTTCATCACTGGTCAAAAAGTTCTGTGGTCATTACTTACAGAATAGCATTTATTTTTTCTACACCAGGATTCAGAATGCTGTGGTCCTCAATTAACTGTCTAACCGTCTCCCATACTGTGAGTCCTCTTAGCACCCCCTTCCTGAGTCTCCATTCCATTAGAACCTCCACCAGTAACCTGGTAGCTGGGGAAGCCCAACCACACAGCCTCTTTGGCAGGAAGAGGAGTGATTCCCAACTTGGAACTCTGATTGCATTTTCTCAGAGCACCTTGAACATGAAGCTTGGGATCTGCACAGGATGTGGTGGATTGGAGGTTGGAAACTTTTTGAGCTGGTTCACAACATTTAATCACCATGATTAATCCAAGTTGTTTCTACTTGAAGTGAATTTTAACTCCACAATCCATTTCTAAGTCAGATGCTACCCTAGTTTGATGCTCAGAAAATCTTTTAATTCCATTTAATTAAGTAGAGTTCATTATCAACTTTGCCTTCCTTTGTAGCTCTTTCTCTGCTCTCACATGGCAGGAGCTCCACCCTGAGCCATAAGGAATGGTGGCATCTCCCTGGGCTGGCTTGTCCCTTCTTCTGTCTGTGGGGGCTGATTGCTCATCATATAGTGAGAAAACTGCTGAGGACCTCAGTTTCCTTACTATGGATGAGCAGAAAGCACGATGTTTGTGACACTGAGTTGCCTCCAACGAACAGCAGCGGTAATGGCCTCCTGGTCTACCAGGTGCAGCACTGTTTATGCTCTTATGCCAGGCCTCCCACTCCACAACTTCTTTCACACAAACCTGGCATCTGGTGCTGGCCTGCTTCAAGCTTAGCTGGGCTCTGGACATTTTCTGCATTTCAGAATTTGTTCTTCTTGAGCTGGGCCCTGAAGATGTTACCTGCCATTTTCTCAGGTGGTTGTAGCTGCAAAACTGGGAAGATCTGGGCATCTTTGTCTTTTGATTTTGAGACGGGGACACATTTTAGGAGTCTCACATGGTTCTGTCTCCTTGCTTACTCAGCTTCTCAGATTAAAAAAGAATCCATTAAAGGAATCTTTTTTTCTTCTATACCATGTACCAAGTAGGTTCTGTAGGTTGACTGAGATGTTTGGTGTATGAAAGGGAAGATTCTGGAGTTCATGTTCACTTGGTCTTTTGGCACATTCACTCTAATTACCTGCCTCTCTCATTTTAGCAGCATCATTCTGGGCCTGCAGAGGAAGAACTTTGACTTGAAAGAATTTTGACTAGAAGTAAAAATTAAGTGCTAATTTTTTTTTCCCTCTTGAGATCCCATTTGTTTATTCTCTCCTGTATGGAATTCTATGCAGCAGAAAGAAAGAAGGAGCTCCTACCATTTAGGACAGCATGGATGGAGCTGGAAAGTATTGTGCTAAGCAAAATAGGCCAGGCAGTAAAAGACAAATACCATATGATCTCACCTTTAACAGGAACCTAATCAACAAAACAAACAAACAAGCAAAATATAACCAAAGACACTAAAATTGAGAACAGGCTGACAGTGACCGGAGAGGAGAGGGGAGGGAATTTCAGGGGAAAAGGTTAGGGTTTGCAGGAACAAGTATAAAGGACACATGGACAAGTATAAAGGACACATGGACAAGTATAAAGGGGTGGGGGTGGAAACAGGAGGGGGGTGGGGGAAAAAGGCAGAAAGCTGTACTTGAACAACAATTAAAATTTAAAAAAAATTAAGAATAAAGCTACCTTATGACTCAGAAAAAATTTTTTTTTTCTCCCTGCATCCTCTAATATGGTTTTCTCAGCTTTGGTTGGGGACTCAGGAGACTCTAGATAGAGGTGATGGTTCCCTTTTCTCCCTGAAACAAAACTCATGCTGAAGAACCTGGTGGGATCCTTTTCTGTGTCAGCTTTCAATGTCTCTCTGTTGAATTACCTCCCTGCTCGCTGGGTTCGGTTTGCCCCTCTTATTTGCTATGGTGCCATGGCCTGGTTACAAGTAAGAAGAGTTGCTTTCATGGAGTTATTTTGGGGTTTGGCGTTGGCCCAGGATTTGACTTGGTAGACTTAAGGGCTGATACTATACCAGTGGCTTCCCCTCCTCCTCCTCCTGCAGGGCTGAAAGCAAGACCTGTTCTTTGCTGTCCTGCAGAGAACACAAAATACAGTTCAAAGTGGAAATCAAGGGAATCCCAGATTGCAGACTCCTGCAGTTCCTTCCTGTTCTCTGCCTCAACACACACCTTTTTCAGTTTGTTGTTGTTCCCTCATTTCAGATATGATTTTCTTTCCTAACCATCCCCGACCCCTGGTGCCTTTGTTGCTTGTGATTGCAATGCACACACTTGTGTTCACCTGCACTTTCACTCTGCCCTCTGTTTTGGGTTCCCATTAGGGCTCACCAAGGATGCCTGGCCCAGCTGTGAGCATTGCGTATTGCGACAGGACCCATCTCAAGCTACTATTTCTGTGACACCTTTTCCATTACTCCCACTTTGGTCCTCTCCTAAGAACTGATGGAGCTATCTAGTGTTGGCAGGACTGAAGCAAATCATTCTGTGGCCGCTATTGTGAGGACGCCAGATTGCATTATCCAGAAATAGACAACTTGGTTCTTAATCTGAAGAGGGCCCCACTGGATTGCATTCTCAAGCACCTGAGTTCTGTTCTGCACCTACTGGGTGTATCCTTTAAAAAAAAGGAGTATGCCTTCCACACTGTAACCTTTATACCCTTCCCAGAGCCTTTCTTGCCCTCAGTTGTATTTGCTAGACATTCTTCATTTCTGAGTTTGTATCTTAAAATATTACTGGAACTTAGTGCTTAGTCCCTGAGGGACTTGAACTCACGTGGGCTGTCTGGCTCATGGCCTATAACCCAGATCTCCCAACCCAAGGATACTTACCAAAAAAATTACTCAACAGTGTTCCTTTCTTTTCCTAGTAATAAATGAAACTGTCTTGTCTGTTAGAGTCACCTGCACATCCTAGGATCTCTCTTCTGACTGTAATCCCTCCTTGCTCTTTACTCTCTGCTGTTCTGATGTTGTGCCTGGTAATGCTTGAGCTCTCTCACTTCCGGGAAGTGTGGTTGCAGAGAAGGGGCAGTTGGTTGGCTTATTAGAGATGTGGGGTTTTCTGGCCACAATGCATAGCTTTTATTTTTGTTTCTCCTTGGCCTGTGTCAACTTTCTTTTCATGTTTTTCAAGTTGTACTATGTACATTAGGGAAGAAAACTAATCAAGCACTTTGCTTTAACTCTAAGAGGTAAAATCCTTATGAGTGTTAGCTTCTAGTGACTCCATTTCATCTGCTCATGTTTATTAATCTCTGGTCTTTCCCCCTTCCCTCTCTGCTTCCTCTTCGCCCTTCTTACAGGTGTTGGGGGTGTGGATCTGATAGGATGAGAATAGGAGGATGCTGAAGAAATTTTTTAAAAAACCACTTCAATGAAAGAGAGCCAACATTGTATGAAGTTTGTGACATTGAAAAGTTAAGGATTAAGAAAAGGGCTGGCCCTGGCTGGTGTGGCCCAATTGGTTGGAGCATTGTCCTATGATTGGTTCAATTCCTGGTCAGGGCACATGCCTGGGTCACAGGTTAAATTCCCAGTCCAGGCACGTACGATCTCCTGTCCAGGTGCATACGGGAGACAACTGATCAATGCCTCTCTCTCACTTTGATGTTTCTCTCTCTTTGTTCCTCTCTAAAATGCAATGAAAAAATGTCCTTGGTGAAGATAAAAAAAAAAAGACTGATAATTCCTTTTTATTCTTCTCTCTGTGTTTTGTATACCAGTCAACGTTCATTTTGATAAATAATAGAAACTCACTTGGTTAAACTTAAGCAGAAAAAGAATTTATCAAATGGTAATTAACAGAACTAACAGAACCATGAAGGACTGAACTCTGGCAGAAAACCAGGGACAGGCAAGGAAAAGGAACAGTTTGTGTAGGACATTACCCCATCCTTCTGCCATTAATCACTCAATGTTCCAATGGGCTGTGGACTCTGCTGTAGTGATGAGGAGTCCTCAGCAGCCCCCATGCTCTCATGCCAGTCCCTGCAAGTTTGGTGTGGAGCATCGGGTTGGCTGTTAGTAAGTCATGTGCCTACACTCTAGGTGCCATGGTATTGGGAGGGAATATTTGCTAGCTGATAAAGATTTATTGTTTGTAGTTTAATGCAAATCACGGAGGCCATCAGTAAAGACATTTGGTCTGTTGATTTGTATAGTTAAGCAAAAGATGCCTGTTAATCCACTGAAACCCAGTTGGTACCAGTTGGGAGCTAATTTAACTGAATGCTTTGTGGATTGTCCACTCATTCCAAAAAGATCTGAAGCAACAAACAATTTTGGACCAAATACCTCTCTTAGATTCTTAAAATGACCTTTTCTGTAGTTCTTCCCTTCTGCAAGGACATTGCTGCAGCTCGGTACTTACCCCACAGCATTGTATTTGGTGCCATTATCTGAAATGCATGCATGTTTCACATGTTAGGTCCTTTCCTTCTGTTTTCAAATGCTTCTGTACCTACTATATCTCTGTGTGAACCACAAAACAAACTTGGAGGAACTTGGATTTTGTGAAATGCTGCACCCCACCTCAACAAAATGACATCTGTGAATTTGGGAGAGCTTTTTGAGTAACCATCAGACAAACCTGAATTGTGGTGGACATTGAGCACGTCCTCCACGTTACACTGATGGTAACATGCCTCAGTCGAGGACAGCCCAGCTTGGTGCCATTTTGTTCTTCTGGGTTGGGGGGCCCCTTGCTGAAAGGGGCTCTGTCCCATCAAGGAACCTATGGTTTCAAGACTTAAACGTCTTTGTTGGAACTTGCTTTGGAAGAGTTGCTTGTGCTGCCACCTTGAAAAGAAAGTTTCTCTGTACTTTCAGTTGGGGGTGGAGGGCGGCCGTGAAAGGGGGTTCGTTGGCAGTTGAGTTCCACCAATGTTTTCTCAAGCCGAGACTGAGCCCCATTCATCCTCATGCCTGTGTGTGGCTCCAAAGGGGCCAGCCAGGCAGCTCGAAGTCTGCATTGAGAACTTGATCCCCTAATGTAACGATTAAATTTTAGTAAGTGAAATAAAAATGTTTCAGAAAAAGAGAGAGTGGGAGAGAGAAAGAAAGAAAGTGCAGAACAATACTTGTTTTATTTAACCATGAAGAGTTTCTGACAGCAGCCCCCTTCCCCACAGGATATGAGAACTCTCGGTCCACTGCAGCCCTCCTGCCCCAGGGACCGCACAGCAGAATTAGGCTGGGGGTGGGGGATTCTAATGTAAACAGAGACCCTGAAGTCCTGGAATCAGCTCCCCCTTCTTTCTCCTGTCTCCCCTTCTTTCTTGCCACCTCACCCCCAGCCCCACCTCTCCAGACAGGCACACACAGAACACTGAGCAACTTCAGGTTCAGGCTGGAGGAGAATAAAGGTGCTTTGTGAAGGGAAGCAAAACATTCCTGGGGGAGGTGAGGGGCCTGGGGCATGAATGTGCCCTCAGTCTGGGCTGATGCTGCACACCCTGCTCCCTCTCCTAGCGCACCCAGGAGGGAGGTGGAGGGAGGAGGGCCCAGCCCCCAGCCAGGAAGCTCTGGGCGTGGGCAGGGCTTGTGGGAATGATTTCATTGGAAAGGCCTGCAATATTTTTTCCCCTCCCGTGTGTGGTTCTTGGAGAAAGTTGGAGGTGGTGGTGATTTCAGTCGCCTTGGCCGCGGGGAGCAGGAGCTGAGCAGAGGCACACGGCCGAGCATGCAGGCAGTCCAGCTCTGGGCCCTTCGGCCATGCCTGCGGCCGGCCGCTGCTTCCCGGCCCAGGCCCACCTTCATCTGTGCACCTCTTCCTCCCCCTCACTCCACCCCGCTCCAAAACCTATTTGGGTCCTCAGTGCGCAGGGTTCTTTTTCAGTTTTTCTTTTTTTGGAAAAGACTTTTGAGGAGAGCAGATGCCACCTAAGGCTCCACTGTCTCCTCTAAAAAGAGCCCAAATGTGGAAATGAATTGTTGGTATTTTTAACTTTATCTATCAATATATTTTTAACCAGCAGCTTTTTTTAACCTGTGTGTTCTGCTGTGTTTCTTGTGTTTAGTCTTCGAGTGCTTCAACCGACCATGACCCACTGGGCCCCCTTCCTCCTGGCTGGGGTAAGTACTGAGACCTACCTACTCTGTGCCCTCAGTGTCCCTCAGCTGACGCTCCCCCTGCGTGTCCTCTCCCTGCGAGTCTTCCTTATGCCCCTCCCTTCGTTTCTCTTTTCACTTCTCTCCCGCACACTGTCTGCGGATGCCCAGCCAGAACAGTGAATTGCAGGCAGTGGAGCCAGAGGCTGGGGAAGTAATGGAGTTCCCCTGAGCTGTTGCATCACCTGCCATAGCTGAAGGAAGGTGTCCCTATGAAAGAAGTCCCTAAGTGGCTGTGATACTGTTGGGTTTTGGTCCTGACTTTCAAGGTCTCTACTCAACCATCATCCTATATCAATAAGACATTTTGATGCTGGCTGATTCCGAGATACATTTGTTTCGGGTCTGTGGCTATGTGATAGAAAGGGGCCACTTTACCAAACCTTTCTTTACAGCTGAGATGTTGGAGGACTTCAGCCTAATTTTGACTAATGGAAGCCACTTTTTTGGTGGCGGGGGACACAGCTGTGAAATGGCCAGAGGCAAGCCTGCTGAGCACTGGGTGGTGACTCCGTGAAAGTACATCATTGCTAGTTAATAGCACCACATGGATTCTCCTTGTCATATGCAGCTGCCTCTTACTTATTTTCAGCCCCTGGTGTGATTTGCAAGAATGAGTTAGCGAGATGGACATCTATGACTTGAGGGGAACCACAGAATTTATGGCTATTCTGGGAAGGAGTGGCCCTGCAGAGAGGGGTCTTTAGAGATGGTGAGACTCGGGGCTTTCTGTAGCTCTCTGAGCGGGGTCAGGCTTTTGTTCAATAGGCCAGAGTTCCTGGAGCTAAAGAGGGCCGTTTTTGCTGGAATCGGTACATGTCGGGTTAATGGATTGGTCAGGCCAGCAGAAGGCAGTAAATGCTGGTTTGGTGGTGTTCACAGATGGTATTAAGTTGGGCAGGGTTGTGCTCCCCAGAGAAGATGGAGAATGACAATGATAGGATGAACGTCTGATACTCTTGGTGCAGACACAACTACTCCCTGGTAGTAATTTATGAGGTTGCGTCAACCCCTTTGGACCTGCAAGGTATAAGTTAGTGAATTACCACTGTGTTCCAGAGCACTTGCAGGACCTCCTAGTCCTTTAATGGGATAGATCAGTTAGGGGGGCCTCTACACAATTCTTGATTTTCTGCTAAGGGAATCCCTCACGCATGCATAGGATCCACCTTGTTCCCCGAGCTGATGAAAGCTCATTGCTATCTCAGAGATGGGCGGCAAGTCAGATGTGAGAGAGTCCAATGTAGGGTCCCCTTCTAGATAGGGGGAGACTCAACAAACTAAACCAGAATTGTACTGCTGTTTGGCGGCCAGTGGACGCTGTGACCTAGAGCGGGGGACCTGGAGTCGTACCGTTGTCTGCAGAGTCAAGCAATGTATGTCTGTACCGGTTTTGCTAAGTGGTGGTCACCAAATAGGAACACCTATAAGGACTTGTAAACAGCTCCCAGAAGCCAAGTGTGAACTATTTGAGGTGGGAATAGGAGCCATGGTTGGCGTCAGTGCTGTTCACAAAGGATGAGGAAAACACACAGAACGATAATGGCATGTGACTGAGAAGAAGGAACATTTGGCTGAGGGCCAGGGAACCTTCCTAATCAAGTCCTTCGTGTTTTGTGTTGGCTTCTCCAGGGCCGGGGCAGGGCCACCTCCCCAGGGAGAGTTAAGATTGAACAGAAAGAGCAGCAAAACTAAACGAGAATCACATTGAGCTTGAGCCTGCTGTCAGGTCTACTGTGCTCTCCTGCTCAGTCCTGTGTCCCTTTCTGTTCCTCCATGAGACATTCCATGGTCCCTCCTCAGCATCAGCTCAGGGGTCAGGACATCTCACTTTAGATCCACATCTCCTCAGCTGCCCTCACCCTGGGCACATGACTGAATGTTTCGGAGTCCATTTCTTCCCGAATGAGGTTGAGCTAGATGCTCTTAAGGACTCTCTCAGCCCCCAAACTATGAAACTGTGTGCGGCAACGCAGTTCCAGTGGACCATGAGGGCCTCCACCCCCACGCCCTATTCAGGGAGCAGTGCCAGAAACCAGGCACAGGCCCGAGACCAGCCGGACAGATCCCCCAGCCTGGCGGTTAGTGTTGGCCGTGGCCCTTGGCAGAGCAGATGTGGAAGATCTAGTTCAAAGCAGAAGCTTCTGGCTGGGAACAGCCCCTCTCTCCCCTCAGATCCCTCTTGGGAAGCCTGTCTTCTGTGGGACAGTCCCACAGCTGTTTGGAGATGGTGGTAGCTCTGTAGCAATTCTGGGCACCTTCTTTTTTTTCTTTCCCTTTGTTTGCACTTTTGAAATGCTCATCAAGTAATGGATACCGGGTAAGGCAAACAGACCTAGCCCCTGGGTTGATACTGAAAATGTTGCAGCCTCATACTGAGGCGATGGGGCTGGGCCTCCCAGTTCTGCTTCTTTACAGTTTTTGGTTTCCCTGTAGCTTCTGGAACATGTTACTTTTATTTCTTCAATTTTGTCATGTCATCGTAAGTGAGAGAGGGCCATTAGCATCATCTTTTTTTAAGAGAGAAACAGATTTAAAGGCTCAGGAACTTCTTGGGAAAGGTGGCCTGTCTTGGGTTCAGAGCCTTGACCTTAGTTTTACTTTCCATCCACCCAGAGCTCATGGGGTGACTCTGTTAGCCTCTTTCAAGGTCCAAATCCCCAGCTTGAATTGGGTCTGCCCCTGAAGCCTGGACTCCCTCCCTGGAGGACACCAGAGCCACCATCAGTGCACCTAGTAAAGGTTGTCCAGAGAGTAAAGGTTGTCTGGGGAAGAGCGGGAGTGCCTGAGCTCCCCCAAACACTGCTCTGTCTAGAAGCACACACTTAGGTGTAAGAACAAGATGGGTGTTGGAAGTGCCACTGTCCTTGGCATTTATTTGTGCATGTGCAATGTAGAGCTTTTGCTGGGATGTGAGAGTTTTAGAATAAAACTTTGCCTGTAAGCAGGAAAAAAAAAGAGACAAAGTACATGGTATGCAGGCTCTGAGCACTGATCAGAGAGGTATGAGGGAAAACACAACCCTCACAGGGGCCTGGGTCACCGCATCCTGTGGGCAGAGTGGTGGAGGGACCAGAGACCAGCTGTCACAGACTCCGTGGGGGTAGGGGCTTGCGGGAGGCTGTCCGTGCCTCCACTTTTGCACACAGCTGGATGCAATTACACCTCAGGAGGTGGTTTCAGCTGGGCTGCTCCCCCTCCATGTTGCCACACTGCCCCCTCCCTCCAACCAGCCAGCCAACTAACCAACCAAAGACAGTGCTTGATCCAGTTAGAAATGTGTCTGTCCCTCCCCCACTCCCCAGTAGGGAAAGATTCTCTTTGTCCATTTTTGCCAATGACAGATGTGTGTGTGTGCTGGGCTTTTACTGGTTAAACTTCTCTAATGGGTTAGGAACAGGGCCAGAAAGTCGGACCCAGCACATGGAAAGGGGCACCCAGAGGGGAGAGAACGTGGCTCAAGATACCTCAATCTGATTGTCCTATTTTCCTACTTCTCCCTGGCAGAGAAGAGACAGGACAACGGACGGGTGTATTACGTGAACCATAACACACGTACTACCCAGTGGGAGGACCCTCGGACCCAGGGGTAAGGACTGGGGCTGGGAGGGGGCTGGGCCCTGTGCAGCTCTGGCATTGGCTGAGTGGCCTTGGACTGCATTTATCCTCTGTGGCCACACAAGTACCTGGAGACCCTCATGACATAGCTTTAAAGTGGTTCCTTAAATTGACCTTCCTGGTAGGTGGAGAATGGCCTGAACGGTCTCTGTGCTGATTGTGCAAGCTGCTGAGAGCGTGATTTCACCCTGTACTCACCCTGTACACCCAGAAACTAGTCCGGACTAGGGCAGTTGGTGCCTCAGGGTTGCTGGTGGCCGCTCAGTCCATGGCCATGGACACCTAGGGCTGATTCCTTAGTCTTGGGACAGTAAATGACCTCTCTCTTCTTCAGAACAGTTCTCATGACTTAAGTGTACCAGCTACATTTCCTCAAAGCCCTTGCTTTTCCTCAAAGGCTTTACAGAGCCTGGGTGACAGCAGAGCAAAAGGAGCACAGTGGGGACCCTGGCCTTCTAAGCATAGCCCAGAAGGTGAGGCTAGTTCTTAACTCCTCTCTTCCCGTGTCTCCAGGATGATCCAGGAGCCAGCTCTGCCCCCAGGATGGGAGATGAAGTACACCAGCGAGGGGGTGCGCTACTTTGTGGACCACAATACCCGCACCACCACCTTTAAGGATCCTCGCCCAGGGTTCGAGTCAGGGTAAGGACTTTGCACAGGTAACAGCAGTGTCTTAGCACCTGAGTTTATCTGCTTTCAACTGTACTTACTGCCCTCTAGTGGCCAATATCCATGCCAGGTTAGCAGGGCTGGGGAGGGAAGGGGCCACCCTATTTATCTATTTATTCAGAATAACACCAGTGGTCTCTCGGTGTCTGTCTGTCTGCCTGCCTGCCTGTCTGTCTGTCTGTCTCTCTCAAAGCAAGATTCTGGCTTTATTTCTAGTTTTTCTTTTTACTTCTTAAATCTGCCGAAGATTTTAATGGCAGTCACCTCCTTTCTTTCATTCCTTACCTTACTGGTCTGTAATATAACACCACCTTTCTGAAGGGCTAACAGGCACCTTGCTAATTTTTGAGAAATCACACAGATTCCAGATCATCTTTGCTCTTCCCAGGACGAAGCAAGGTTCCCCAGGTGCCTACGATCGAAGTTTTCGGTGGAAGTATCACCAGTTCCGTTTCCTCTGCCATGTGAGTTCTGGTGCCGGGCCCCTCCCCTGCAGGTTGGGGTCGCGGAGTTATTTCAGCACGATTTCTCAGCCCAGCAGCAGTCTGGTCAGGTGGGGGAAGGCCACTGTCTAACCCCGAGCAGTTGTTGGGTGTTGTCTCCAGGAAGCCTGTTCCTGTGTCTAGGAACCAAGCTCTTCTGTCAGCCCAGGATAGAGGAGACCAGACTGAATAATTACCTCCTGAGGTCTGAATCAAGGTGTTTTTTTCTTTTCTTTTCAGTCAAATGCCCTCCCCAGCCATGTGAAGATCAGCGTTTCCAGGCAGACACTTTTTGAGGATTCTTTCCAACAGGTTAGAAAATAATTGTGTTGTCTTAGACCAGAGGCAGACAGAAGGCTTCCTGCCGTCACCCCATCTTCTGTTACATGGCCTGCTGAACCCACACAGCAGAGTGTCCAAGACCTGGGCCTTGGGGAGCGCTGTCCACCAAAAAGCAGACCCTGGAGCCCCCTCAGCCTGCCATGGAAGGCAGAGTGGCAGGCTGGCCACAATGCTGTGTCTCCCCAGATCATGAACATGAAGCCCTATGACCTGCGCCGCCGGCTCTACATCATCATGCGTGGCGAGGAGGGCCTGGACTACGGGGGAATTGCCAGGTGAGCTTGGCACCCCGGGAAGGCTGTGCTGCACCCCACTTCTCCAGGCTACTGGGCACGTGGCCAGAAAGCTGCCTCCTCCTTGCTCAGATTAATTGCCAGTGCTCTTATGCTTCTTCGGGAGCGGGCACCGGTATGGCCAGTTCAAATGGTGTCAGAGCAGTGTCCCAGGGTCCCCTTCTGGGCTGGGCACTAACCCTGTAGTTACTGGGTCATGGGGAGGGTGGGGGCTCCGGGGAAAGGACCCAGGACAATGGCTCTTTTACCAACCAATATGTCATTGTTTTTATACTTTAATATCCAGTCTGGCTGCACCGTGGGTAGCGGCTAAATATTGGTGCCATGTGGTTGTTTATGAAAATCAGCTCTGGGCTGCTCCTAGTCTTAAGGCAGCTGGAGCACGTTACGTTGAGCATCTTGGTGTGCACCTGACAGGTATATGCTATGTCACAGTCCAAAAGGCCTTGATCAGTACTCAGCTGCATGTGATGGGCACAGGGTCAATAAAATTCAAACAGCTGGAACAACCCTCAAAAGAGACCAAAGCATTGTCTTGCCCTCACCACAGTCCCGCTACAAAAGTTACAGACTCTGGCAAAACGTTGCCTTGGACGATGGAGCTGAAGGGCCCCCGGCAGAGAGAACACGTATCTTACTCTGTGGTGGTCGCTCAGCTCACTCACCTCTCACGGAGTGGGGACATCTTGCTTGGTGTTGGGTTAACTCACTGCTGGCCCTCTGTTCGTTGGTGGCTTTGCTCTCTGTGTTGGCCCTGGTGGATCGATGGCTCTTTCTCCCATGGTGACCGTGGTGACCTCCTCTCCAGGCTCTGCTTGGTGGGCTTCTGGTGTGGCTCCCGCCCTGTGTGTGTCTGTCTCTCTGTGTCCTGCCAGTGGTTTTACCCTATGGTAGGTTACGTCATGCTGTTCTACCACAGGGTAGAACCACGGACAGGATACCGGGGCACCCTCTGCATCGAAGGACTCCTCGTCTGCCTGGCCACAAACAGCCCAGCAGCCAGGGACTGGCCCCGTTGGGATGTCCCCCTGCTGGTTTAAGTGAAGCCCAAAAGGACTCTGAATTCTGGTTGGAGGCTTGTTCCTAGGGTGCAAAGAGATGCAAAGGCGTGGGTGTTGGTTCAGATAAATCTGTGGAAGTATGAGAAAAGGTCTGGTAATGAGGTCTGGGGTGAGGGAAGGGCAGAGTGCAAGGCAGACACCTGCAACAGGAGTGAGGTTTATAATCTACAGACTGCATGGGTTACAGAGTTCATGCATCAGGAGTTAGGAATGTATTACCATATATTCATTCATATTATGCTGCCTGTTCAGGTAGGGTGGAAGCAGGGTGGCTGCTATTTATACAGTACCTTTGGAAGAGTTAGAAAAAGATGCCCTATGCTCACAATATTCTGGCTTTATCAGGAAAAAACAGCTTGGCTGCTAGTTGCAGGAAAATTATTACAATAAATGTGCAAATCTGTGATATTTTACCATAGTACCATAGTACCATAGTTACGTAGTGCACAGCCAACACAACTGTGCATGGTGGCCCCAGGGTTCAAGGAGCCCCTTTGCCATTAAGATGTTCTGGATGTCAGATGTAAAGTCCTGCAACGCACCCACCTCCTGGGAGCCAACACGCACCCAGGCACGCACACTTTCCTGATCATCAGTCATCAAGCGTGATTGCCGTCCTCCTTCGCCCTAGCTCTGGCCCCACCCTGTTCCCTGACCAGCTGTTAATGCAGGTTAGCCCCGGTGCTGATCCCCGGGGAGGTGGACTCCCCAGTACATGAGTTTCCAAAATAGCTGAAACAGGACGGCAGAGGAGAGCGGCACCTCCAGTGCGGGTGTGCAGGGAAGGATCCATTGGTCCTGTTTTTTTCTCTCTTCTCTCACAGAGAGTGGTTTTTCCTCCTGTCCCACGAGGTGCTCAACCCCATGTATTGTTTATTTGAATATGCTGGGAAGAACAATTACTGCCTGCAGATCAACCCCGCCTCCTCCATCAACCCCGACCACCTCACCTACTTCCGCTTTATTGGCAGATTCATTGCCATGGTAAGATTCATTGCCATGTGTCCTCCGGAGGGGTGACAGCCAAGGAGGCCAGGACCTACAACACCAATAGCAGCCCCACCCTTATCCTCACAGAACTCCTAACTAAAAATGCAAAAAGCTAGAGGGTTCTGGAGATAGTTCAGAGTTCTCTCAGTGCCCACGCAGGGACCTGGCGAGGGTTTCTGCATGTGGATTTGTGGAGAACTTGTCGAGCAAAAAGCCATGGTCCCCGAGTCATGGGCTTCACTTAACATTCACAGGTGTTCCGTTGAGGGTGTTGGGGTGACAGGGCTGAGCACTAGCATAACTGCCCACCTGCTGCCCATCTCTTGGGGGTGCCACTGTCTGTCACAGGGTGGGGGCAATTGGGAGTGTCCTACTGTGGCACTCAGGCCTCTGTCAGGGGATTTGGAATCTGCAGTAGCTTAAAACAGAGCCCTCGCAGACCAGTTGGCGGACGATGTGGGAGGCATTCGTCGGGAGCTGAGTGAAGTTGGGAAGGGGGAGTTTCACACGTTATCTGTATTTATCTGGAAATAGGAACATAATGTGGGTAGGGAAGGGGTCACATCACATGCATCCTGTTGTGTATCTCCTGAGTGTGGAGAACCAGGACTGAGGACAGGAGCCCATGGGAGCCACAGTGCCACTGCCATATTTGGTAGTTTGAGACGTTTCACTTCTAACTTTCCTTTGCCCTGTTCCCCTTTCAGGAGGACCCAGGGCCCAAGAGCCCATGACTAAATATGTCCCTTCCCGGGTCTGGAAGTTTTTGGCCAAGGTGTTGGGCTCAGGAAGTAGGCAAATTTTTCCCAGGTCTAGCAGTTGACAGAGCAGGCCAGTAAAACTCTAGACTATTACTCACCACTGGCTCGCCAGTGCTCGCTGTCAGCGGTGTCTGCATTATTTTTGGCTGCCTATGCTGCCCAGCTCTGAGTGTCAGTGAGTCAGGGCTGCAACCAGGCACTGGGCTGACCAAGTCTTCTCTGTGAGTGTGGGGCACATCTTTGCTAGAGCAGGGAGCCGGCAGGCAGGTGTGCTGGGCAGGCAGCAGACCTGGAGGTGGGTTCCTGAGTGGGCCAGCTCTGCTCCATCCCTGTGGTCTGTAGGTAAGAAAACCGTCTGTTCCCAGGGTTCTAGTCAGGACAAAGAGTGTTGCTTATTTCCCAGACCTTCCGTTTGGGCCCCTGGGGTAGCTGAATGCCAAGGCGCTCCCCAGGATGGAGGGCAGCTGGCAGTAGTAACCAGGCTGTGACACAGAGCGTCCTAGAGCCTGCCTCTGGGAACACCAAACCTCTTTGGTGTGTCTTCCTTCCACAGGCTCTGTACCATGGAAAGTTCATTGACACAGGCTTCACCCTCCCTTTCTACAAGCGGATGCTCAACAAGAGACCAACCCTGAAAGACCTGGAGTCCATTGACCCTGAATTCTATAACTCTATCATTTGGATCAAGTGAGTCCCCTTGCATGCCCCATGTTGGGAGGAGAGGGATCTCTGGTGGCCAGGTAAGTACCCATGGCCTTTATTTACTCTGCTGTAGTGCCCTGTGAGCTCTTACCTACACTGTATAAGTGCTTGTGGAGGTGCACAGCTTCTTGGTCCTCCTTAGGGCAGCTCTGGAATTCTCTCCTCGCATCAGGGAGCGGGCCGTGCCGCTGCTCCGGAGTCCTGACCGCCTGTGCGTCTTCATGTCCCATGGGCACTAAAACGGAGATGGCGCAGGATCCAGGGGAGACCCTTCTAAGACAGACATCTTCCCTCTTGTGTTCTCATGTCCCCAGAGAGAACAACCTAGAGGAGTGTGGCCTAGAGCTGTACTTCATCCAGGACATGGAGATTTTGGGCAAAGTGACAACCCACGAGCTGAAGGAAGGCGGTGAGAATATCCGAGTAACTGAGGAGAACAAGGAGGAGTACATCATGTGAGTCTCGGTGCTGGGGAGACCGGGGTGGAACAGAGACATGGCCGGCTGTTTCTGGGTGCCCTCTTCAGCCAGACCCCATGTGTGGCCCATAGGTCACCAGGGATCACAAAACCCCCCCTTTTTGCATGGGCTCAGTTGGCTGCCTGTGGCTGGTTGCACTGCCCAGAGCTGGGGGGGCCAGAGCCCAAAGCCCTTTTACAGCCCCGTTCGCTCTCTTTTTCCCACGTGGACTTCATGACTGCAGGGCTGAATTTCTCTGAAGAGTCATGAAACAGCGACATCTTTCTTTTCTTTCCCCTAACTGGGAGGATTTCTGTGTCCTCTGTGCTCGATCTCCTCTCTCACGTGTGTGTATGCACATGTTCACCTGTGTGCACATTCTTCGGGTCTCTTGGTTCAGTCTGTTAACATGCACACATCTGACGTTCAGTTGGTGACAGTACAAGGAGGAGGAGGTGGTGGTGATTTCAAAGCCCCACATAACTCGAGAGGGGTTGCTGCGAGGTTTAAGAGTTTCTGCTCTAGGGCCAGCAGCAGCCGCTCCTCGCAGCACTGGAAGTCGAGTCAGCCCATTCCTTGCTGCCTGGTGACACCAGCCTCATGGCAGGCCCTGAGCTGCTCCTGGGCAGTGCGTCTCAGGCTCCACTGACAGCCAGCCTTTGTTTTTAGGCTGCTGACCGACTGGCGTTTCACACGGGGTGTGGAAGAGCAGACCAAAGCCTTCCTGGACGGCTTCAATGAGGTGGCCCCCCTGGAGTGGTTGCGCTACTTTGATGAGAAAGAGCTGGAGGTGAGAGCTAAGGTTATTGGGACCCTGAACCCCGGGCTCTGGGGCAATTCTGCCCTTTGATAGCTTCACTGCTTATCCACGGAAACACCCAGTAAAACTCCACACTCCTGAGAATGGCAGAAGCAGGGGAATAAATTTTATTTGGGTCCTCACACCCACCCCTCCCTGGGCCCTGGTGTGAGGGGGTCCATGTTCAAGATTTGTGTCATCCGTGTGATTAAAACGGCCAGCAGAAATAGTTGACAGTGTTTGGGGTGGTTGTATCTGCTGGTAAGCTGGAGAGGCATGGGTGGGGAGGGCCCGGCATTGAGTGGCTGATACCCTTTCCCCTGCAGCTGATGCTGTGCGGCATGCAGGAGATAGACATGAATGACTGGCAGAAGAATACCATTTACCGGCACTACACCAAGAACAGCAAGCAGATCCAGTGGTTCTGGCAGGTGTGTCCTGCCAGCTGTTATTGCAGCCCACCGGAGGAAATGAGATCTGCTTAGACCCAAGCCCAAGGATCCTTGTTGTGTTATTGCCTCCCCCATCTTTGACCCTCACCTCGCTGCCCCCCACCCCCTGCCAACTTGCAAAAGGAGATGAGAAACCCAGCTTTGGGACAGTGGCGTTGTTGCAGCTGGGCCATGCCCAGTGCATTTGATAGGAGTGTCGGTGGTCGGGGGCCAGCGGGTCAGCTCTGAAGGCTGGTGTGCGACAGGGTGCCCGCACGTAGGAAGGAACGTTCCTATAGGTTGCGTAGTTTCCTTCAAGGCAGGTGGAATGGGAAAGCATGTGTTTGGATTCAGAGAAACTGAATGAGCTCATTATCCTGGATATAATGAATTGGTTCTTTTATATACGTAGGTCTTGTTGTCATTATCAAGCACAGCAAATACACAAGCAGAGAATAACTATATGTGATATTTTTGGCTTAGGTGAAATTCACATACTATATTCACCTTGTTAAGCATTTTAAGGTATACAATTCAGTGGCTTTTCACAGTATTGTGCAGCCATCAGACTAATTCCAGAACAGTTTGTCCCTGCCCTGCTGAATAAAAAGCTGTAGCCATTAAGTAGTCACTCCCATTTTTAGTTTATTTTTTAAAGTAGAACTTGAAAGGGAAGAGAATACCTGGCTTGAGTTGTTCCTGAGACAGAGAGACAGCACATGGACTGTGGAAATGATCTGTAGACATAGCCTCCTGGAGTAGCTTTGGGGTTTTCCCAGTTGGTAGCTGTCACTCTGCCCATCCCAGCCTTTGTGATCTCAGCCCCAAAGAGCAGAGGTGTGGGAGAGTTACAGAACAGGGTAAAGAGCTGGGCCAGTGGCGTCGCCTGACTGCTTTGACTTTTGGAGTTGCAGGTGGTGAAGGAGATGGACAACGAGAAAAGCATCCGGCTACTGCAGTTTGTTACAGGGACCTGCCGCCTGCCTGTCGGGGGATTTGCCGAACTCATTGGTGTGTCTTCCCTTGCCATGCTGGCACCCCTGGGTGGGAGTGAGGGCAGCTCACAGGAAGGGTGGGACCTAGTGTCTCCCTGGAAGCAAGTCAGTGGGAGGGGCAAGAGTGTCCTGCCCAGGAAGGATCACGCCTGTTGTATAAGGTGCATTTTTCTTTGGATAATAGGTAGCAATGGACCACAGAAGTTTTGCATCGACAAGGTTGGCAAGGAAACCTGGCTGCCCAGAAGCCACACCTGGTGAGCCTGCTGGTTTTACTGGGATGTGGTTGGAACCTCACAGATGTGATGAGCCCCTAAGGGCAGCCCAGTGGACAGGGTGACTTTGGGGCCCTGACTCCGGAAACTTTTTGCATGGCCCTGGGGTGTTGGGTGGGAGAGGAGGGCCTCTGATCTTTTGAGAGTTGTAGCAGCAGGTGTGCACCCCGATGGTCACACCAGGTATTAAATCCTGGAACACTGTTGTTCCAGTAGGCAAAGACTGCTGCGCCGAGTGTCCTCTTACGCAGTTCCCCATTTTCCCAGCTGCCTGTCCTCCCTCCTAACCCGTCTGTGGTTCAGGAACCTGAGGCATTAAGGCCCAACAGAGCAGGGTCCTTGAAGTCCCTGTTTCAGCATCTCACCAGCTGGTTGGTACTGTGGTTGAGCCACAGTCACGTGAATGCTCTTGACTTCCTTGGCCAGCAGCCCTGACCTTCCCTGACCTTCCATGCTGACTGTACCGTGCCCTCTCTCAACAGTTTCAACCGTCTGGATCTCCCACCATACAAGAGCTATGAGCAGCTGAAAGAGAAGCTGCTGTACGCCATCGAGGAGACCGAGGGCTTTGGACAGGAGTAGCTGAGGCTGTGCCCTCCTGTGCCCCCCAGCACACATGTAGTCATGAGTCCTCCCTGCCTGAGAGGCTGCTGGCTGCAGCCCCTGGGAGGCCCCTGCAGATGGTAGCCCTGCGTGGAACCACAGTGTCATCAGGCTGATGGCAGCAGAGCCCAACCTCAAGAGGCCCTGCCCCCTCCTCCATCCTACCCACTGGTGGCAGTCTGGAATAAAGCCCCTTAGTCGCCTTAGCCCCACCACCCGCTGCAGTTTGGAGGGCTGACCCTCTGCAGAGCTTACACTCCTTCTCCCCTGAGGACAACTGTAGACCCGTGTATGTGTGTGCAAGCCCCTGCTGAAGGGCTGCAGCACAAGCCCTGGCCCCTGGGCTAGTGAGGTGAGGAGGAGACTGGCCACTCGGGGTGGCTGTCTGGGTTGAGAAGGCTAGGGTCTTTGCCAGTATAAGAGGTTCTGTTTCAGTAGAACTTTCCCAGTGGCCTGTACAAAATGAAGGTCTGAGAGAGGAGCGTTTCCCACACCCAGAGCTCTAGATCAAGACTGTCTTGCTTCCTTCCCTAGCGGGCTCTAGCCACAGAGGTGGGGCAGCAGGCCCCTCTCTCTACTCAGGGCTGGCCAGTTCACTCTTCCCAGCCAGTAAAGGGGTGTGCCAGCTGCTTGGATGTCAGTGGGAAGGAAACAGCAACTCGGACTTTCTTTTCCCTTTACATAAACTTGAAGCATTTTGTGTGTAGGGTTGCTTCGTGTTTTGTTGCTGGTATGCTGCTGTCACGTTCTGTCAAGGAGCTGGTGCACCAGGTGTTGCTGAGACTTGGGGGACTTAGCACTGTTAGTCCAAGAATTTCCCAAACAGCGGCTCCTCTTTGGAACCAGCTTAGCAGTTCTGTGAGCTCAGGCAGGTCGACGTCACAGCAGCCTCATCCCTGAGCCTTGACAAACAGGGAAGGGGTGGTGCCCAGACCCAGACCACCCAACCTTGCTGCCTTTGAGAGAGAAGAAATCCCTTTGCTAGATGTAGTCACTCAGGCTCTAGACCTCCACGTGGGTCCGTTAGTCCCCTGTCGAAAATGAAGAGCACCCCCACCACCCCAGTGCGTGTTCATTCTGCGTAGAAGTGAGGATTTGCCTGCACACAGGAAACAATGCTCTGGGAAGCCGGCTGGAGGGCCCTGAGCAGCTGCACACATCTGCCTTGATTTCTGGAGCCCCCGTGGGGCTCCGTCGTGGACATTCTGCCATGTATTGATATCTTTGGGGTGAACACACTCCTCTGGGATGCTGGAGCGGCGATTGTCCTAAACTCTCCAATCCATCCCCCCAGGGTTCTAGTGCTGAGCACTAGCTGCAGACTAGCTCCAGCTTCCTGGGACCCCAGGCAGGCCCTCAGGCCAGTCATGGGCCTTGAGAGGATCGTTTTGTGTTCCCAGATCCTCGTCCTTCCCCCTGGCCCAAGGAGGGACTGCCCATGTCCACTGTGTTGGGTGTGCCGATTTGAGTGGCTCAGCTCACTGCAGCTGAGCCCTTTTTCTCCCCTGGAGTTGTTTGCTGTGCTTCCCTGCAGTGTCTCGCCGCGTCAGGGGTTAAGGTGTGAGCTGCCGTGCACAGTTGGGAAGCCTTGGGCTCACGTGTGTTCAGAGTGTGTTCATGTGCGCATGTGTGTACATATGTGTATATAACAGGTGTCTACAGAATGTCCTTCGGTAGCTCTGGGTTGGTCATTGGATTGTTTTGTAATGCCTCTTGCCACGGCATTGCCATGTTCCTGTGCAATAAACAGTCAACAGCTGTGGGTGGTGGTGGCGTGTTGTCTCCAGAATCACTGTCCGAGGTGACAGGCCTCTGAGCCCCACGGACACTCCAGGTCCAGACTGGGGTGGAAAGTCCATCACCTTGCTGGTTTGGAGAAGAATGTACGTCATTAACCAAGACAGCCACAGTTTTGATGGGTGGCTGAGACCTGGTCCAGGGGTCACTGGCTTCAGCCCTTGGTCAGTTCCCTTTTGGCGTCCTCAGCCTCCCCTGACAGGCTTGGGTTTCTCTGAGCAGTTGCTGTGGGACCGGAACACCCAGTAGATAAGGCTGCATGTTGAACAGACTCCGGAAACCAAGTCCTGGGGGCAGTGTTCTCACAGTCGTTTACTCAAGGAACATCCCAGGTGTGTCTCAGGTTCCATGACAATAGCATGACTGATCCTGAGTTCCTGGTCGCTCGAGGGCTCGCCGTCTACTTTTCTGAGTCCTTAAGAGTTCGGATGGGACAGGTTACCATGCTGCTGGGTCTCGATGTATTTGACACAAAAGTGACTTTGTCATGGATCGAGTCTTGGCCTGATTGTGCTCCTAAAGGGAGGCAGAGGTGTTTAGAGGAGGTCCTTCCTCTCAGCTGAGTTCACTACCCTGCTGCTCAGATCCAGAGCCTTTTTCACTTGACAGGGCGACACCATCCTTTGAGAACAATGTTGACTAAAGCCCATGTGCTATACAGATGCCTCATAATGAATTCAAATGACTCCTCACTCTTATCACCATGGGTAACTGCTGTTCAGTTTGCTGTGGTCCTTCCAAACTATTTTATGTGTATATGCAAGTCATATATACATATAATTTTTAAATAGACCAAAAATGAGCTCTTGTATGTTGCACAACTCACTTGCCTCATTAAATGAGCTATTAGGGAGACCTTTCCATGTTTGTCCACATACCTATCTGTAATTGATTCTTCACTGCGTGACATTCTGTACTGTGGTGGTTCGCTAATAACCCCACCTGTGTCCTCCCAGGCGCTGTGGTGCGTCCATCAGTTTGCTGGTGGCTGCAGTTTCTTTGTGTGCCCTCGGGCAGGTCTTAGACACTGATGCTGCTCTCCTGGGAGGGGGCAGTTGTCCTGGAAGTTGGACTGTTGATGATATGCCTTCATTTTTTACTTAAGAATTTTAAAAAGGTTTAAAATCGAAAAAATAGAAGGGGCCTTCAGTGAAAGCACCCCCCCCCCCATACTCTTGTTCCTCAACCACTCTGATCACCTTCTAGAAGCAACTATTGTTTGCTGGTTTCTTCTGGGTCCTTCAAGACATACTTTAAAAATTCCAGTGGATTCTACCCAGTTGCCCTTCAAAAGGTTCTTGTTTTACCAGCCTTAGGGCAGGACCCCTTGGCACCCCAGTGGGTGACTGAATTTGTGAGCGCCCTGTCTCCCCTCCCATCTCTGTTCCCTTTTCCATCTCCTGACTCTGGACTTCCATCCTTTTACATGATCATTTTTTTTTTTTAACATTTACATTACTCCGTAACCATAATGAAATCTGTACTTTTTTTTGGAGGCTTATTTGAAAAAGCAGCAAGAACATTTATATGACTGTGATCATATAAATACTGTCTACTCCAGAGCTAATTAGTATAAAGTCAGATAATTATCTCTTCCCCATAAGCTCTTTCACCCTGGAGGCTCTAATTACTTTTCTTTGCTGTTATTATATCCACTTTTTTTCTTACTCTGAAGTGCTTCAAGTGAAACCAGTTGGCAGAGAGTACCCATACCCCTGCACATTGTAATAAGTTCCTGATGTAATTAGCCAAAATGAAGACCAGATATGTCTCCCTTTGTTACCCAAGGTCTCTAGTGGGTCTCCCAGGTGCCAGAAAAGCTACATAAGGTGAAATCGCACTGGGTCTGGAAAGCTCAGTTCCAGCTTCCCCACTGTCCTTTGATATCAGGGCTCATTTTCCCCTTCTAGGAAAACTCCCCCTAATGATCTCTCTGCTTTCATTTAGAGGAATGCTTATAAATAGCAGGCTGTCCTGGTTCTTGAGCCAAACTCAGCATCAACGAGGCCCTGGCCTCATCTTGGGGAAGAAAATTGAGTCAGTGCCCAAAGTTGTAAACTTAGTTCATTTTCCTACAATCTACCTCTCGAATCCAGTTTTCAATACCATTTTATCTTGGTCCCTCTGAGGCTGAGGTTGGTTCAAGCACACAGGCAAGCCCGCTTTCTTGTGGCCCACACAGCACGAGTCGGGCACCCTCAACGGACTCCTGCCAGAGCACGTGACTTCTCATTGGTTCTTGTCTGTTATCTGTACCCTTTGCGCATCAGTGTGGGCTCAAGGCCCAGCTCCCAGTGAGCTAGTTCCAGTGGCAATAATCACTGTTCTCTTTGAAGCTTGTTACCATTTGATTCTGTTTGTCACCCCACTGGATATCTTTGATGCTCTCTCAGGGGTGTCCAATTTTTTGGCATCTCTGGGCCACATGTGAAAAAGAGTTGTCTTGGAACACACATTTAATACACAAACACTAACAAAAACTGATGAGCAAAAAAAATGGTTTTAAGTAAATTTACAATTTTGTGTTGGGCCACATTCATAGCCATCCTGAGCCACATGCAGCCTGCAGGCTGCCAGTTGGACACCCCGAACACAAAATCAGCTCCTCCACCAGGAGCCCTGTTTCTTGGGGATAAAATAGTAGTAGGCGGGTTCTATCAGTATGGCACCATGAATTCATCATTTGATCAACCTCTCTGCTCCAAACACATATAAAGACCCACAGAATGTAAGAAGAAAAGCAAGAAGGCTGATTTGAAAACAGGATAAAGGATTCCATGGGTCATAAACAGAACTAAATGCAAAAAATGGAGCAAGATTGAAGCTGTGGGCCTGCCGCACCTGAGCCTGACTGACGGTGGTGGGTGAGAGTTCAGCTGCTGTGGGGTGAGCAGTCTGAATGTGTCCCTTATAGACTGGGGATGGGCACCAGCCTGTGGCTCCTTCCTGTTTCATGAAAGAGGTCAAGCAGCAAACAAAACCAAACCTGCTGCTGTGCACTGGGCTATGGCTTTGAGAAACACAGAGGCCTAAGGAGGCACAAACTCATCGAGCCAAGCGACCCCAGTGGTCTTGGCCTGGATCTGTGATGTTCCTAGGTCACCCCTGGCCAGGCTGTCAGGCTGCCATTCACAGGTCAGGATCGAGAATGGATGTCCCTCAGGACAGGAGGAAGAGGCAGCTGCAAAACTATTAGGCAGATGGAGAAGGAGTGAAAGAAAACTCCTTACTCAAAGTTTTTGTCTCCATATTTTGCCTGCTGGCGTTTGGTATAAGGGGATTAGGTGGCAAATGAGTCTTTTGATACTGGGGCCCTAAATGTCACTGTTCAGGGGTCTTTGGGGTGATCAGTTTTTCCAGAGGTGAATCCTCTGCTCCTGCCCTAGGAGTAGACGGTACCTGCGACAGGTACACCTGCATGTAGGCTTCCCGGGAATAAGCAGCAAGAAGGAGCTGAGGTGCTCAGATTCCCAGCCACCGACTTTACTTCTCACTCTTTTCAGTGGTGACTTCCCCCAGCCTTCTGCTCTGATGTGGGTCCCGGAGCCTGGAGCTCCACTTGAATAACCTCTGTCTCCTGCAGTTGGGAGAGGGGAGGTAGTCTGACTGTGAGGGACTTGGGAAGGACCTGGGTGTCCAACCCTTCTATATGGAAAATTCACTGCCCCAGGCTTCAGCTCTCCTTTTGCCTTCCTGCTGCCAGCAAGAATCTCTCTGGGGACTTGCACATTTCTTTGGTCAAAACTTCTGCGTGGTCAGTTACACTTTTCCACCTTCTTACCACCTTTGAAAGCTTCCTTGTGTCTTTATTCATCACTGAATCCTGAGGATGGTTAATCGTTAACTTCCTTTTCTTTGATAGGTCTGTGTAGGGGCAGGGCCCCCCCCCCCCGCCCCCCCACAGCTGGTAGCTGGCAGTCTGTGCTTAAGGGTTCCAAAGGGGACTTGACTCACTATATTGAATTTCAACTGATACGCTCGTGCTTATCTCGTGACCATGACTCTGACTCCTCTCAAGCCTGAGCTTCTCCCAGGTTCTGCAGGGCTCAACAGCACGCTCCTTCCGGTGAATTCTTGGCTGGGGTTCCTGCTACTGGCTGCTCCTCCCACTTTCCTCTCTCCAGAAATGTGTCAAAGTCCCTTGTCCACCCCTCAGATGCTACCTCTCAAATAGGCCAAATGGCCAGGGAAAAATGGGAAATCTTTTACATTCATCGACTATCATTTTAATGGGGTCTTGGGAGGGGGAAAAGATAAATTCTACATGTAGGAAGTGACTTTTTGCCAGTCAGCCATGATTAAGCCCATTGCACCACACTTCTCGCAGAGACTGGGCTCCTAACTGCTTTGCTTTGTTTGCTTTGCTTTGCTATCTCCAAAGCAGTGGTGGCAATGCATAGTTTTGTTTATAAATAAGAGGGGTGTTTTACCTCTGCATTTTTCTATTAACACTTTTTATTCTAAGACAGTAGTTAGGCACTGCAATGAAAAAAGAAAACACACTGTAGCCTATTACGGATTACCCTGGTGAATTCTGGTTCCTGTCTGTGAGAGACAGACTTCCCATGTGCCCCTCCCGCCCCACGACCCCCTCTTGGTATTCACACCGTCCTGTTGTAATCTCCTCCTCCCTTTGAGTGAGGCTGGGGTAGGGATTTTGCATCTAACCAGTTGAGTGTGGCAAAGGTGATGGGCTGTCACTTATGTGATTAAATTACAAAAGATTGTGACCTACCACTTGCTAGCTAACTCTCCATTGCCTTCTTGGCTTGTGCACTTTGATGAAGCAAGCTTCTAGAAAGGCCCATGTGGCAAGGGGCTGAGGGCAACTTCCTGTCAACAACTAGTGAGGGACTGAGGCCCTCAGTCCAACAGCCCACGAGGAATCGAATCCTGCCAACAACCACATGTCCTTGGAACCCTGAGATGACTGCGGCCCAGCTGACACCTTGATTGCCACCT